AAATTATTTTACATGTTAGAAAATTGAGGCAAGGCTGGGCATGGCAGCTAATGCTTATAATCCTACTACTTGGGAGGCCTAGCAAGTGAATTGCCTGAGCTCGTGGGTTTGAGACCAGCCTGAGCCAGACCGGGACCTCAATTCCAAAAAATAGCAGGGCGTTGAGACAGAGCTCTGCCTCTGAGAAACAGGTTAGCCTGTTTCTCAGTGTACTGCTGGCAGGACTGTGAGGGTTAACTGAGGAGAGGACAGCCTCACTGCCAGGCATGCGGCCTTCCTATGTATGTGTCATTTCCTTTCTTCCTCTTTAAAGTCAGACTCAAACCATCTCAGAAATATGCAGGTAAAGCCTTTGTTGTAGAGCCCACACTGCCTCACATCTCCATGGCTCTCTGATAGGTGCTGTGCTCTGGAGCCCAGCTAACCTCACCAGGTACCTGGTCCTCCCTAACCCCTGTGCTGAGCAGAGGCTTCACCTCTGGGCCTAAATTTTACCAGAATTAAACTCTTAAGACTATTACTGTTATGTTTTCTTCCCCAACTTCATCTTTTTTTTCTAATCGACTTATTGTTAAGCATCTCTTTTATAACTAAACTTATTTAGAAACTTTCTCCCTCTCCTTTCTTTCTTTCTTCTTCTTTCTTTCTTTTTTTTTGAGATATAGTTTCACTTTGTCACCCTGGGTAGAGTGCTGTGGTGTTATAGTTCACAGCAACCTCAAACTCTTGGATTCAAGTGATCCTCTTGCCTCAGTCTCCCAAGTAGCTGGGACTAAAGACACCCGCCACAACGCCCAGCTATTTTTTAGAGACAAGTCTTGCTCTGGCTCAGGCTGGTTTCAAACCTGTGAACTCAGGTAATCCACCCGCCTCGTCCTCCTGAGTGCTGGGATTATAGGTGTGAGCCACCGTGCGTAGCCCCTCTCCTTTATTTCTAAAATCAAATTTCTATTTTAGAATATGTTAGGGGTGGCGCCCGTGGCTCAGAGGAGTAGGGTACCGGCCCCATATGCCGGAAGTGGCGGGTTCAAACTCAGCCCCAGACAAAAACTGCTAAAAACAGAACAAAACAAGAATATATGTTAGAAAATATATATAGTTTGGAATATTTGCTTTCCTCGTTATTTTAAAAGAGCATTTCTGTACGACATTGTACTTTCACAAACTAAAGCTATAATTTCTTTATTTAGTTTGTCTATATCTTTTGAAAATGTTGACACAGCTAAGAAGAAATTACCTGTTCATATCTTAGATGGTCTGACCCTGAGCTACAAGGTATATGTTGATATTCTTTGTACAGAGAATATTTTCTGTTAAAATTAAAACATGCAAGTAATTGGTTATTTTCTATTCTGATTTTCTGTTTTTGTTTTCATAGGTCCCATGGCCTGTGGATATTGTTATAAGTTTGGAATGTCAAAAAATTTATAATCAAGTATTCCTTCTCTTACTGCAAATAAAGTGGGCAAAATATAGTCTAGATGTCTTACTCTTTGGTGGTAAGATTTATTTTCAGCAGATAAATGGTAATTTAATTTTAGCCCTGAGAAAAAGAGGTTGTTGATCTTTTATTAATAAGTTTTTGGTTTTTGTTTTGGGTTTTTTTCTTTTTTGTGACAGACTCTCACTTTATTGCCCTGGGTATAGTGCCATGGCGTCATAGCTCCCAGTAACCTCAAATTCTTGGGCTCAAGAGATCCTTTTACCTCAGCCTCCCAAGTAGCTGGGACTAGAGGTACCCACTACAGTACCTGGCTAGTTTGTTTTATTTTTAGTAGAGATGGGAACTCAGTTTTTGCTCAGGCTGGTCTGGAATGGTGAGCTCAAGTGGTCCACCTGCCTTGGCCTCCCAGAGTGCTGGAATGATAAGTGTGAGCTATCTGGCCTGGCTGCTTTTATTGTTTTTATGTATATGCAAATGCCAAAGTGTTGTGTATTATAGCAATAGTTTCACAAACATCAAGTATCTGAATTAATGAATAGTAAGAAGTTGTAAAGGCCAGGCATGGTGGCTCATGCCTGTAATCCTAAACACTCTCAGAGGCCAAGGTGGGGTAGATTGTCTGATTCAAGACTAGCAAGGGGCTCGGTGCCTATAGCTCAACCGGCTAAGGCGCCAGCCACGTACACCTAAGGTGGCGGGTTCGAATCCCCAGCCCGGACCC